ATGACATCTCAGTGTCATGTTAATTTTCATTTCATTTATAATAAATAAGTTCTCTCTAAACACACACATATGTGAACCTTTTGTTTTCTTCTATAAACCATGTGTTCCTATCCTTTGAATAATGCTTCTGTCAGGATGCTGTTGACTTTCAAATTATTTTAGACACTTTTTATATATTTAGAAAATTAATAATTTGAGTTCCAAACATTTTTCTGTAGATTGTAATTGTCTTTAGACTTTGTGTATAGTGGGTCCTACCTTATGCCAACTTATCAATATATCTTTAATATCTTCTTGGTTTTATGTCACACTTAGAAAGGTCTTCCTCCGCCCAAGACTATTTTGAAAACTCTGTCATGATTTCTTCTATTGTAAAGTTTCACATAATTTAGACAAAACTCTTTCCTTGGATATAATGTTGTTAACAATGGGTTCCTGTCTTTATACAGCCCCCATTTTCAAATTAGGGATGGGTTGAAGCACAAAGCGGATGTCAAAGCTGGGAAGGGAATGCTGGGCATTTTTGTCTATGGAAGTATTCTCTGCTGCTAATCTCCTCAGTGGGAGCTGACAAAATAGACACCTCTTATTCTACAGAGTCCTGGGATTGCTGCTGCCAACCATAGGCCAAGAATGTCAAATCCATGCAGACTTCATACTCTACGTCAAAATGCATTCTTGATGTTTCATGACTTGAAATGTTGAAAGAAAGAATCTGTAACATACTACAGAAAAACTCCACCATTAAACAAGTGAGATCGAAAATCAGTTGTTTAAAATGAGGGATTGTATTACTGTGAGGTTAGTGAAATGACCAGAACACAAACAAGCCACTGTGACCAGGGGCCAAAAGTTCTGTGATCACCAGCTGTGCTGTCTACACACCTTCATGGCTGAGATTGTGTACTTAAATGGCAGTCATTCATGCGCTCTTAAATATTGATGGGGAAGAATCATCATAGCATCTTACACATATCTACATATCTACTTGAGACCCAGGGCTGTACATTACTTCTCTAATACAGTGCTTTTAATATAACAGAACTCAAGAAATGTTCAATAATGAATCAATAATACTGTGACATCAACTGGCACGTACAGTGCTTACCTCCCTTACCTATCATCTTAAGCCGCATCAAGAATCTCTATTTATACAACTTAAAATTCAGCAAAATGGATTAGAGCCAATAGACAGTGAAGACAATTGCTCACAGAGAAGTTCTTTGGTTATGGACCAGTTACTTCCCAATATATCTTCCTACGTTTGAAAAAATGGAACTGAATTTGTTCTATATTATAAGGAAAGATGTCAAACCATGGACCTGTTTATTCAAAGTGGAGTGAATTTCATCAGACCTTATTTTCCAACAAATGAAGTATTTATAATCACAGACTTTCTTTGGCCTAATTTTCTTTAAAGATTTTTTAAATATACAAGGGCATTTATTTTTAAATAAGATCATTCTTAACCATTGATGAAACAATCTCCCCACTGCGGGGAGCCACTCATGACCTGAGGACTGCCGAGCACAGAACGGGACGGAAAATCCCAAAGTGCTGGCGTCAGGCTCTGAGATTGATCTAGCAAAGACAATCTCTGTCCCGCCACCCCTTTGAAGAAGAATGCATCAGGTTTTCTAAAGCTCTAGGAACATCCAGAGCTATTAAGTCACTGATGACCTTAGAACAGAGAGATATAATCAGCATACAAGTTAGTGATCTCAGTTTACTTGAATAATTATCTTAGTGATCTTGATATGCAGGAACATTAACTTTAGTGTATGAGTACTATAAACAATGTTAATCTGTAGAACAATATACGAGTTAATGAGCCCTAAAACAATACCTATGCCTACGTGCAGGAATGCACAAGATAGCTAGTTGAAATTGTATAAATTAACTGCTGAAAATAAACTCAATGTTCATTCTTGGCTTAGCGTCTTGTGGGCTTAGAGTGAGACCCTCTCAACCCCATCTTTTAGTCTTGTCTTTCTTTTCTCAGTCCTGCAGCACAGGTTTCTGGACCTGATCGATTGTCGGCTGGCTCCGACACCCCACCGCTACATATGATTTTAGATTTATCATAAAAAGTTTCTCTCCCTAGAATACTTTCTTGTTCAGCTCACTGAATCCCAAAGTTCAATCTGATACATTCTTTTGACTAAAGATTACTTTTATTTTTCAAAATGGAAAACCTTTGGAAAATTACTTACATTATCAAATAATCAACAAATTTATAGATCATCTGCTTTAACCAAAAGCTTTGAAGATTAAATTTATTGGACTCTTCCCATTGAGTCTTTGGTTATCTGAGTCTTAAGAAAGAAAAATTGAGCAGTATGTTGAGAGAAAGGGATTGGGAAGGGGAAGACTGAAGACATGAAAGTTTTCTTATCCCACCTATTTGCTCATAGCTGTCATGCTTTTCAGCCCTATTGACCAAGCATTATATTGATGTAATGTCCAAAGCATGTTGTTTAACCTTCAAAACCCTCTAAAACCAATAAATAGTTTTATTTAAGTTAATAGGTATTTATTCAATCCCTGCTAAGTGCTGGGCACTTCCCTAGGGGCTTGGTTTACAGCAGTAAAGCGAACAGACAAAAAACCCTGTCCTTTGGAGCTTATGTTGTACCAGAAAAAAGTCAAGTAATAAACAGTAATCATTATAAATATGTAAATCTTATCTTTTTTTTTAAGAGAGTGATGATTATTATGGAAAAATTGAGCAGTTTAAGGAGAGGATCAAGAGTGCTGGGAGAGGGACAGTGTGCAATTTTAAACGAGATGACCATGGTAAGCCACACTGAGTTTGTAATATAACAAATCTCAAACGTTTAAGTGTGAAAGAAGTTGGCCATAAGACTATCTGGAGAAAAGAATATTCTTAGTGAAATGAACCACTAGTGCAAAGGCACTAAGATGGGGACAGGTCTGGTTCAGGTAGCACAGAATGGTTAGTGGGCCTGGAAATGAGAGGAAGGAGAAAAGCAGAGAAAGGAGTGAGGTCAGAGAGGTCCTGGAGTGAGGGGTGAGAGAAGTGGCCTTGGAGAAATCGGCTTTTACTGTGAGTGAGGCGTAAAGCCATTGGAAGTCATTAAGCAGGGGACGGATATGGTCTGGCTTATAGACTATGCTGACTCTGTATCAAGAAAAAACTGCAGGGAGGCAAGGTTAGTAGAAGGGAGGCCAGTCAGGAAACTTGCAATGATCCAGGTGAAGGTAATGGGTTTGGGGCCGGGGCAGAACCACAGGACGTAGTAAGAAATGATCAGATTTATTCTGAAGATAGAGCCAACAGGATAGGCTGGTGGATCGGACGTGGGATATGAGATAAAAATCAAGAAAAAGGTTGACTCCAGAAATGTAGGGCTGGAATCATCATCAAATGACAGGGGGAAGGCTGCAGGTAGAGGAGCCTCTGGAGAGAAGTCCAGAAGCTCCATTTTGGACATGTGAAGCTTGAGGTCCTCGTTAGCCATCCAAGTGGAGGTTTTCAGTAGGCAATGTGGTAGACAAGTCTGAAGTTCAGAAGAGAGATCTGGGCTAAAGACAAAAATTTGGGAGTCCATGGTATATACATAGAATTTAGATCCACAAGCCTGATTGAAATCACTAAGGGAAGGAATGTATATGGAGGAGAAGAAAAAGAACCTAACTTTTAACTCTGGCACCTCAACGTGGAGAGTTTAGGGAGAAAAGGACAAACCAGTAAGAGGAAACCAAGAAGCACCAACCAGTGGCATGGGAGGGAAACCAGGAGAGTGTGGTGTCCCTCAAGCTAAGAGAAAAATATTATATGGAAAAGGAACTCTGCCAAATGCAGCTGACATCTTAAGTCAAATGAGTCCTGAGAACTGACCACATACGCATTTAGCAGCATGAATGCTACTGGTGACCACAGCAAGAATGGATGGCAGAATGGGGGCAAAACCTTGATGGGAAGGAGTTTAGCAGGTAGAAACAGGCAATGAGCATTTTAAGTAACTATTTCAAAGAAATAGATTGAAGCATAAGTCTATTTTACAAAGATCCAAAGTGGGTTCGTACTTGCTCAAATTCACATATTAGTATCCAATACAGGTAGGACCAAAAACCAGGCTTTGAATTCAGAATTTGCTCCCTTCACCACTGTTTTATACTATCTGGGATCTGCCCTGTTCACAGATACAGTAATTCAGTGAAGGAAGAAACATGAACTGAAAACGACCATTTATCTCTTGCCGTCTGTGTTTTACCACCAAGAATGCAGACTAGTTTTCTTCAAACCTTCCACAGCATATATTCCCCTCTAACTTTCTAATGCCACCCTTTGTATGGCCTTGTTATTACCTTACTTAAGTAACCATTATCCTCGCTCATCTGAGATCCTCCTCTTTAAAAAACAGTCAGACAAGAAAGAAAACACAGGAACTTCTTTTGTTTACCTCTATGTCCCATTGCCACATCCAACAGTGTCCACATCCCTGAATCTCTATGTTATTTCCCTGTTACCTAGAATCAATGGCCTTCAGTCCCTCTCCTCTCCCAGCAGATTCTGTCTGTAAAAGCTACAATAAATCCACCACCAATTCTGGCTAAGAGGCTATCATACCTCCTAGAGTCAGAAAATAGTGAAGGGTCCAAATGAACTTAACTACAGAACAGAAACAGACACACAAACATAGAGAAAAAATTATGGTTACCAGGGGGTAAAGAGGGTGGGAAGAAATAAATCAGGATTTTGAAATTTGCATCTCTTGAGTAGTGATGGAAATGTTGGCTATCTTGATTGTGGTGGAGGTTTCATGGTGTACACATCTATCAAAATTCATCTAATTGTACATCTGAAATATATATAGTTTATTATACAGGAATTATACCACAATAAAAGTGTTAAAAAGAAAAACCCAGAAAATAGTGAAGGATCTTTGTGTGCATGTGTATGGTTAGGAGTGGAGGAAGTGAGAGACAAGGAACAACTCAAGCTGGAGAGAAAACTTCAGAGTAAATTAGATTTCTAGTAACATCCCTAGCAGTGTTGGTAGTAAATTAATCCAAGGGTGGAAAAAAGCAATATGGTCCATAGCATGACAAAGAGAGGAACTGGGAAGTAGAATTTCATGCCAAAAGGCTGGCAGAACACACAAAGGGAGGGAGGGAGGGAGTATGATAGCCTTAGACGTGGGCCAATCGGACAGCAGGGAATGCGGTGAGAATGCGCCCGAGAGAACAGATGACTTGGCATGAAGCTCCCTGCTTTTACTTCTCTCCTCATGGCATGTCTTCAGGTGTCTTGTTTGTTCCATTAAGTACTCCTCCTCATACTGGAAATGCAGTCATAGTGACAAGCTCAATATAAACAGAGCCTCTATGTTGCAGTACACTCTGTTCCGGGTCACTGGAAACACTGATTACTTCACAGGTGCATTTGACCCTTATCGATATGACGGTCCTAATAATGTTCCTCTTTGTAACACACTGGTCTGTTCATGATGGACTTACGCGTTTTTCAGCCTGCTTTGCATAGACTGAGCCCTTCCATGTGTATTGCTGGCCTTATCTCAATGAAAGCTCATGACTCATGATCTGAGCCTTTGAGTCATTCTCTGAAGTTACGTGAATTAGCCTTAATTTGGCACTTTTCAGTTATCAGTATATGCTTTGCCTGCTGAGAGCTTTGTTTTGTTTTTCCTTCCCAGCACTTGGAACTCCCTTAATTGATAGTTGATAACTTCCACAGTGTGCATTTTACACGAAGGAGTGAAAGCTGGCTCAAAGACAAGCAAAAAGAACAAAACAAATTGGCGCTGAATAGAAACTGTATTGTGAAAGACATTAATACTGAGAAAAGCAGAGATTTTGTAGATAAAGTTTCTTGTTTGCTTCATTGTAAACCAATTGAACTTGGTCCTCTAATTGTAGATCACAAATGAAGATGAAAACCCTGGAGAACTTGATAGAAATGGGATGGGCAGATGGGTGGGGGATGTCTTGTCCATCCACGAATCCGAGATTAAATTATTATACCAGAAAGGGAGATGTGGATTAGATAAGAGACTAGGATGCAAGCAACAAGTGCTTCTACCATAGCCTGGTGCTGCAGGAGAAAAATAATCTGAGGTGTTAACATCATTTTATACCCTGACATTGTCTGTTATTTAAAAGGCTGTGTGAACTAATAGCATCTGAGAACCTGAGAAACGTGCCTAGAACCAAATTATCTGGTTTGGGAAACAAGCAAAGGTCTGAGAAATTCATTTATATTTTAGAACAGGTAGGGAGGAGAACTTATTTAATTGTTAAAGTGTTTAGAAGGAGAATCTTGAAAGTGTGCCTAGCATTTCCTCTTTTTCTGTTGTTTTTCTTTATTGCTATACTCTTATTTAATCTTCACTGGTTTTCTGTGGTCATTTTTTTCGGTAAAGAAAGTTTAAATTCTTTGCTAAATGTTTCACATAGATTTTCAGACTTTTAAATAAGGAATTCTTTACATCCTGAGATGAATTGAGAATTGTACAGACTCTTATTCATACTAGTTTTATACACAGTGAAAACTTTATTACTCATTCTCATTGGATAATACAGAATTAATTTTTCTTTGATGTTAAAACATAGTATATTTCTTTTCCAGAAAACTCATCAACTTTTGGTCTATATTAGTATATTAATAAAAATCAGAGGGCCAAATATTATTTATCATCCAGGATAAAGCCCATCTGTGATTCCATGCTTCTTATATACTACAGATGTGAGTAATTCAGAAGCTGATCATTCTTGAAGAGATATACATTATGTTCCACTTTAATTAATATAGATTTTTTTCTTTGTTCCTTCTTCTCTTTACTTTTCCTTTGAAAAATACTCATGAGTCTCAGCTATCATCCAGGCACTGTGATGGATGTTGCAGATGGACCTGTATGTAACCAAGAAAGCCTGATGCATTCCTTGCTCTCACGGACCTTAACATCTGGGGAGATGGCCAGTTATTGAAGAAATCCTCATACAATCCCAATTGTCAGCATTAGATATTAAAGTACAAGGAGATATACATTAACTTGTGAGTCAAGCTTCCCTAAGGAAAGAAACTAAAGAGTAAGAAAAATAAAGTCATACATAAATGAGGAGATTTGAGGCACAGGTACATTCCAAGCTGAAGTTCGGTATAGTGGTCAGGATCAGATCGTGAACACGCATGAACTGTTCAATCCCCCACTGAACCCAAACCTGGAGCTGCATAAAGTGAAAAAGGAATTTTGATTGATCCCAGAATCTACATCAAAGACTATGAAAAGCGTTTGGAGAACCAGAACATAGGTCAGGTCCCACAGAACCTGGAGGAACGCTTTATAGTTCTCTACTTTCCTCTCATCACATTTTACTGGCCAGCTCAGTGTCTACTCTGCCAGAGTGGGGTCAAGGGGGACAGAAAACATAAGTTCCAGTCCAGTGCCTGCAACAGGTGGCAGTTCATCAGGGCATCACTGGCCCCAGGGTGAGTAGAAAGAATAGAAAAATTAGTGCAGAAGGACCAAGGCTTCCCATCACTGAGCCCATACTGGGTAACCACAGGGAAAGGCAGCTCCCGGAAAAAAGCAATGCTTGGAGCAGCTTGAGGGAATCAGGTTACAAAAGACAATGCAGGGGCTCTTCTCTTTTTGTGGCCACCCATCCTCAGTACACACTTTATCTTTACCAAGAGGAGTGTCAGCTAAAATTGGAGCTGTCATCCCTCCCTTCAGTTATATGTCACCAGAGAGAAAGGTGGCAGTTCCACAAATATGAAGGCACAGGAAAAAATAAAGAGACATCTGAGGAAAGTGCAAGATCTATGAAAGATTCAACCCTGAGAAAGCAAAATTAACGCACCCAATTAAAATACACAAAATATCCCTATCAAGAAAAAAGAGAGAATATTTTAAACATCAAACAGTATAAAAGATCTCATTAGAATTATTAAGCAGGAAAAAATATAGTATTGAAATTAAGGACTTAATTTCTTAAAGCGATTGAGAAAAAATATCAAAAATGATTTCAGAAAACTTCACAAGTGACCTCTGATTAATACCGAGATTCTTAAAGAAAATGAAAGTAATTTTTACTATTAAATCATTGACTCTGTATTATAAAGTTCCTCAAATCTTTCTTTATGACATCCTTTAGCAGAAAGAAAACAAACAGGTGATTCTCTACAAAAAAAAAGGTTTTTTTCATAAGTAGCATAAATAGCATAGAAATACATACTTACAAAGTGAATTTCAGCACAGACGTTTGTAGAGGAAAAGGTGTCTCCTCAGCGTCACTCTTGACAGTTTGCTTTCTTTTTCTAACATAGAGTAACACCAAGTTATTCTGTAGCCTGCTTTTTTCATATAAAATAAATATTTTGAATATATATATGTATTTCCATATCTGTACTTATAACTCATCTCTTCTTTTTTGTTCTTGATTTTCAACTTTATTTTAAAAGTGATTACATATGCTCACTACAAAAAAACTAAACACCACACAAATATATATGGAGCAAAGTAAAAATCCTCTTTCATCCGTCTGTCCCTTTATCCTTTTATTCATTTACATACACACGGAAAAGAATATCTTTATATGTATGTATGTATTTATTTATTTATTTTTTAATTTCCAGTGCTATGAATTCAAGCACTGAAAAACAGAGATAGAAAAAGAGGCTTCCACTCAGGTAGTTAATGAGAGACGAATACATCGGTTTCCATTCCTCACTGGTACATACACGTAAACTCTTCTGTTATAGCTTGAATATAAATGGAATCAGACTATATATGCGACCCCTATGGTTTATTTTTTCACTGGATAAAATTTCTTGGCAACCATCCCAGGTTAGCATATGGAACTAACTTATAGTATTAATGAGTGGGAAGTCTCAGTTTTACCATTCCAGCCCAGATAGCATCTTAAGTCTTTTACCAAAACTATCTGGAATTCTATGAGATTGAACCTTATTCTAAAGATAAAACCACATGTTTGCTATAAAGATTTTTCTGTATGAACAGTGATAATACACAAACATCTGTCTAGAATAAACAGTAGCAAACCATATATAGTATTTGAGTTTTCTTTTCATTTCTGTTTGTGGAGTTTAGTAATATCACTGATGTTCCCATCCTCTGGGCAGCTCTTGGCTTTTGCAGAATTGTACGTGAAAAACTGGAGTGAATTATGATGAATATCAAGTAATTATTCATCTAAATAATTTTCTACCAAAAAATGGAAGGGCATATTTAGAGGGTTTTCACAAACACAAAGGAGACAGATAGGGTAACTTTTTAACTTTAAGAATCATAGCAATTCAAAATAGTTTACTTTCTTCTCATTGTTTTCATTGAAATAGTCTGGCTTTTCTTTTCTGGGTTATGTCTCTGGTTTGGTTTAACTATATTAATAATAACTTACTGGTTGGTAAGGAAAAAATACTATTTTTCCAGAACTTTTACTATTATACTCAGGAAACTTTATAGAATTGTTGGAAAACTCTAGAGATACAAAATTATTTCCGTTTGGTTCTTCAAATCCAAGTCTGTATTTTTCTTTTTAATACTGGGCATTAAACAAGCTAACATTTTTTGTTAGATTTATTAAACTCGTATTTTAAAAAATCAAAAATTCTACAAAGAATCTTTTTCAATGACTATTTTTCTTTAATTACTTTATATTTGAAAATATGAGATCAAAGAGAAAAAATACGAAACAGAACATAAAAGAAAAAGATAGAGCAATAAGGAGTTTCATTTGCAGTTCAGTGTGGATAGTATCCAGTAATAGACAATAGTGCTTCCAACTTACAATTGATTAAATAAACAGAAGTTAAATTAATCAAAGCTTCATGTTGCCATTATTCAAAACAAAATAATTACCCCTCCCTCTTTGTTCCAATCGGTTATTTTTGTGTTGTTTCTGCTGCTAAATCTGGATTTTTATGGAGAAAGAATATCTTAGTTCCCTTCGTCTCCCCACAGTAGGCTACACAAGGCACCTGATTAGTTTTTTTTTTTTTTTTTTTGCTCAACACAAAACTTGTTGAATTAGTAAAGTAGGACATTCAGAGTTTTTCCTGAGCATTATCCTCAGACTGGGGCAAGAAAACAAACATGATTTTATTTTGCGCTGTTTCTCCCCAGGGTGGTAAAAAGATTTGTGATTCCTCTAATCTTTTCTGCATATCATGTCCCACTTGACATAAATTCATTCTCATCTTGCCTTTGGGTTCACCAAAGTCTCTGTTTTAGGATCTCAAAAAAAAAAAAAAATACCGATAGTCTAACTCTATCTAGACTCCTTTATGTCAAGCTCGCCTTTGGAATATTATGTAATTGTAGTAATAACTTACAAAACATCATTTTATACTTCATAAAACTTTATGGTATGAAACATATATGTTATTTTATTTAATCTTTATAACAATATTGTAGTTTTCCTGCTGTTATGAGACAACAAGAAAAACTTGAAAGCAAGGTAGAAGAATGATTACATATGTGTTCAGTGTGACAGTGGAGCATTGCTTAATAGGTTCACCTTTAAATTATTGAAATCTCTAGATCAATGAATCTTTTTTTGACATACTCTTTATTACCAGAGTCCAAACTCTATAATGTTACATGTTACTTTGTGAATCTGGTAGAGATGAAAATAATTTCTGTCTGGTTGAAATTATAACCAAATGATATGGTTTTAATGCCCTTGAGGGTATTATCCAAGTTTGTGTTTAAGCTAGAACTCCAACATTTTTTGTTCAGTGCATAGCAATGCTCAGTTCCTCAAGTGTCTTTGGTATCAGTTTACCCTCCCACTTCCCTAACATGAGATAGATGAACCTCTGTCATATACTTACTCTTTATTTGTATAATACCCATTTTTTAATGTTCTTGAAAAATTATTCTTTGATATTATCATGCTCATTCTCAATTAGCTTCCTTGGATAAATCATGATGGAAGAAGCATAGAAGAGCTAATATTTACAAAAATAAAATAGGGACACATTAAGATAGCCCAGCCATAATGATCACTTGAATCAGTGTGTCCTAACTATTCATTCTTGGAGGACAACTGCTCATAGGCCTCAAAGTTCTATAAAAACCCAAAATGAAACTGTCCAGCATTTGCCTATGGGAAAACACACAAATAGTAGCAGACTCTACTAATAGGAAAGTTGGGGTTGAGGGGAGGGAGACATGAATTATGCCAACCATACAGAGCCATCATTCCATTTTTCTTATACAAGTTTAAAATGAAACCCGTATGATATATGGGCACTTCAAGATAAAGACAAAGAAATGACTGACTATTTATGAAACAGAGACATCAACAATTTCTTTAAATAGTCATCAGATTAAAAGCAAAACCCAACTCTGGTGTGAACAAGGTCACTTCAGTTAGTACCTTTGTTCTGTTTTGGGCTCTTGCCTTTTACACTAACCCAGGAAGGTTTTTTTAAGGCCTCACAAATTTCTTTTTATCAGTGAGGAAAATCAATGTAAGAAACCCCTCAGCGGAGTCCCCCTGCATCTCTTTGGCCAGAACTGGATTATACATCTACTCATAAAACAGTATCTGCGATGGATTATCTTCTGTCAATTGTGATTCACCACCTGGAGCTGGAGCTGGAGCTGGAGCCACCACTCCTCAAGGATCGGGTTGTGCTAAGAAAAGTAGATACCTGAACAAAATTAGAGTCTGACTTGAAAGGAGAAAGAAGAGAATGGCTGTTGAGTAAGCATTCAATGGCCACACCACACAATAGTCCTTATTCTTTTTACTTCGGCTCTCTGGCCACAGCTAAATCACTCAGGGCTGGACCCTCCATCCAAGTTTAGATAATAGGGACTTATCTCTAGGATCTTTGAACTCAGAACCGGAGAGTGACATTGTTTGATAATAGAGATAGTACTGACGAAAAAAAAATCCAAGTGGAAAGGTGAAGAGGGGGAGGCTTGGCAATAACTCATGAATGATGACAGTTGCCCCTCAAATCCTCATCCAACGTTCCCCTTCCATTGGTTCAATAATATAATCCAATAAATGCTTCTTTGTCAAAGCTAGGTTGCTTGGGGC